TAAAGATAAGAATGTCGTCGAGGTACACGCCGATAAACTTGTCCAAGTACTCGTGAAATATCCGGTTCATCGCGTGCTGGAACGTACCAGGCGCATTGCATAGGCCGAAGGGCATCACCACAAACTCGTACAGACCGTACCTGGTCTGAAATGCGGTTTTGTGTTGGTCCTCAGGTCTAACGACAATTTGATGGTATCCGGACTTCAGATCTATCTTTGTGAAGTACCGGCATCCCTGCACTCTATCCAAGAGGTCGTCAATGCAGGGTAGGGGCTCCGCGTTCTTAACGGTGGTGGCATTGAGGCCCCTATAGTCAATGCACATCCTTAATGGACCTCCCTTCTTAGGAACAAATAAGACTGGCGCACCGTAAGGGGAGGTACTAGGCCGTATCCATCCCTTCGTTGTGAGCTCCTTTAGCTGGCGGCGAAGCTCATCTAGCTCTGCAGGAGACATCCTATAGATTCGTCCTCTAGGCACCTTACTACCCGGGACAACATCTATTGCATGGACAACCTCCCTTTCCACCACGCCTGTGGGCTCCTCAAAAAGGTCTGAATATTGTGAGACGACTTTTTCTATCTTTGGGGGTGATTTAACGGCCTCCCCTTTCTCAGAGACAAAGACTAGGTACATGCCCTCCTCCTGATTCTGCTTGTAATAGTTATAGAAGGATGAAGCACACATACACCCGTAGTTCTCTATTAGACTGCTAGCTTTAAACTTCTGCAATCTAACATTTCTACCATTGGGCAGTTTGTGAATCAACACCTTTCTATCCCAATCAAACTGCGGTTGCGAGACTTCGAGGTAGTACATGCCTAGTAGCATATCGAATGGCAGTTCGTCGCTCACCAAGAAGGAGATCTTGTGGATCACTTCCCCTCCTCCATAGGAGAAGGAACAGGCTACGTCCTTGACATAGTCCTTTACAACCATTTGGTGTTTGTTGGCTAGCGTAGAAGCTACAGTTCTGCTAAGCTGCTTCACTTGGTCCCTTAAGCGCAGTCTATCCACACAAGCACGGCTGATGCAATTTCGTGTAGAGCCTATGTCTGCGAAGGCGCCAACCTTGCGGCCACCTACATCTACTTCTACCACGAAATGTTCACCCTTTGGACCTCTACTTATCATCGCCGAAGAGTCTCTGGGGTCCTTGCCTGACCACTCAGTCTCTAACTCTTCCAGGGCCTCAGACACATCTCTCGAACAGAGCGTCGGTAGGTCTGAATGTGTCTGCGAGGCGATGCGTGGGTCACTAGCCTTGGCCAACACCTGAAGTGGGGAAGGCAACGTTACCACTTCATCGCGAGTAAGAGCGGCTAACACTCCTATTGGCCCGAGGTGTTTCCCTGTGAGCTGCTCGCAGAAGCACTCCCAGGGTTCGAAGATAAGCCCACCACCGTTGGCGAGGCTACCTTCGTGGTGACCTTCTTGCCGCGGCAAGTCCTGGACGTGTGGCCATAGTTGCCATAGTTCATGCATGTGCCCCTGGCAACTCGGTCCCTCCACACCTCGTAATCTAAACCAATCTTCACCCATGCGGGTGTTCCTTGGTCGCCCTGACCCGTGGACCGTCCTACCTTCTTCTTCCCGGTCCCCCTAGCCTTGCAGAAGAGGACACGAATACAGAACGATATTCAGCAGCCGGATGAACCACAACGTGTTCTAATGGGTGCCATGCCAATGTATCTTGTACTGTTCAAGAAAGAGTACCATCAGTGGTGTCAGGCACGTGCTAAGTCAACAACATGTTCCTGATGGGTATCCTGTACCGACAGAATCTGATTGCAGTTCAGATCTGTTAGTTATTCAGAACCTTATTGCAGTTCAAACCTGTTAGTTATCCAGAATCTGACAGCACTTCGAACCTGTTAGTTATCAAGAATCTGGTCGCAGTACGACCCTGCAGTGCATTCCCAGACTCATTGTTACAGACTTCGCCAGGGCTCGATCCCTGGTCTATCATTTGCTGTTTCGGCTGCATCCCGTTTTCGGCCTGGCACCCTTTTTCCAAACCCCTCCTTTGGTACCGTAGGATTTTGGACAACTGGCGCCATGCTGCAATTCGGGCGCCACTTTCAAATACTGCATTTTTCAGTTCTGCCCTCGGGGCCTTTGCAGAAATGTCCCTGGTACCGTACGTGTCACCGGTACTTATACCGGCTCCCCGTACGGTACGGGGACCAGTCTCGTACCAGTTCTCTGCTGCTGTACTCGTACTCAGTGTGACTTGCTGTTTCGGCATTCGGGATCCAAGACTTCGACTTTGTGCCTTGCCACTGTGTCTGCGTCCGACCCTCAGTCCGAGTCCGTCGTGTCGAGTGAGTGAGTGTGCTGTCTCTTATACACATCTAGATGTGTATAAGAGACAGGCTCTCACTCTCTCCCTCTCTCTCCTCTCCCTCGGCTCACCCTCAGCCTCACGCTCGTTACACTCATGCTCTGATGCACCTCAACGCTGCTCCAGTTCCCCCCAAGAAGGCTGATCCAGAAAAATCTGATACCACAGTAGATTGCGATGTAACAATCCTGTACCTTTCCTGTTCAGCCCAAGGCAAGTTAGACTGAAAATGTTTTGAACTAGACAACAAGGCACTGTAGGCTCAGAGACAGTTAGTCTCCACGTAGAGCCCACTCTACCGTCTTCACCCGAATACAACGCCCGGTCATTATAGCTGTATCTGGGCCAACTTTCCGACCAGAAGCAGGAATGATGACCGGGCGTTTTATTCAGGTGAAGACGGTAGTCATGATGACAAGATCCACAACTTCAGAGTGACTGACATAGAAAGAAAAGTTCTCATCCTCTTCCTCAAGCCCTTACGACCCTCCCGTCATCGTTCCAGGCAGCATTTCCCCCTCCTCGCATCCCTCCTCCTTCCTTCGCCTCTTAGCGTTTCAGAATGCTACACCAGACAGATCTGCACCACGCCCCCATCTAAAGTCTCCACACCCCTGTATCCCTTTGGGCAAAGGTGCGAAAAAAAGACAGCGCCCTTCTCTCGTGATGTTCACCAGTTCTAGCTTCAGATTTGTCCTCTTCCGAAGGTGGTAACGGCCATAACATTTTCTCTTTTTGCTTTCGCATTTTTTTTTTTTTTGCTTTTTTTCTTTCACTTTTTTTTTCTTTTTTGCCTTTCCTTTGGCCAACAAAGCACTCCACGCGAATAGTAAGAAATTTGTTTCCATGAGGAAAAAAATCCTTGCTTTTTCCCACACACAAAAAAAAATACAGAAGAAATTTGTATCTCAACACCCCAGCAACCCCAGCCACCCCGTCCTCCGTGCCCCAGCCATCTTAGAGTTTCCCAAACAACACTTTACCAAGCCTGGACCGAGCCTGTACTCCGCCTCTGTGCATTCTGGAGGTCGAGAAGAAACAACTGACCCAGGTACCGGTGGTTCACTGACGGATTACTTAACTGGAAAGCACCAGACTAAATCTTGTCAATCACTTTATAAGTTTATACCACTTAATAAACTTTATTGCTGCCAAAAGTTCCAAAAGGACCAAAACTCCATTCTTCCACAGAACTCTTCTATTGTGAAGTTGGTAGCTAGATGATTAGGCAAATTGAGTAAGGCCTTCAAGAAACAGTTGCTTGTTTGCTTCTAGAATCGATACTATGATTTTATTTTCTTTTTGCTGCAAGTGTTAGACCTTATGCTAGGCACAAGGTTCCTTAACATCCGTGTGGTTGAGCAGTGGTGGCCCCACATGTGCACTTCCACTGAAGGGCATCCATGTCCATTCGTGTGGGTTCAAAACACAAGCACATGCAACAGATGTGTGCAAAGAAAAGGGGCAAAATGAGAGGGAGAATAAGGGAGAGAGGAGAAGGAAGGCAGGCAGGGGAACACAGTCTGTCATACCCTTGTTAAATGCAATGGCATGGTGAACAGAGCTCACTAACAGCTTAGACTACTCGAGCATGTCATTTTAACTATGACAACCATGGTTGCAAGGTACTTTCAGCATCACGGCAAAAGCCAGGACATCAGCAAAAACGCATGGTGACGGACAGGACAACACAAATAGAATATTTTGATGTGGTCTATGAGAACAACGGGCCCAACCCTCCAAGTATCAGGCATTGTTCCGAAGAGAATGTCACAGGCAGATATCACAAGCAGCATGACATTCACAAGCTATGAACACAGATCAAGCATGTCGAGCAGGATACCTTGCGAGGGTGGCAATCAAAGGGTGAGTACAGGTCTAGCCAATCACGACTAGTGTCTATGCATAAGACTCTCTCAGACCATGCCATCAGAGTGAACACATCAGAGGGAATGGCGATCACACGCTAAGCAAAGGTCACACCAGGGTCATCACACATGATGGCAAAGAGCACACAGGTTCTGGAGGAAGTGAGTGTTGCTTCTAGAAGGATCTTCTGACGCAACACAAATTTGTTGCCCAAATCACCCATAAGAAACCTACCCATTCACCACAAATAAAGCACAACATTTTTACAAAAGGGCATATTTCCCTGCATGTGTGGTTGAGCCAGAAGTGCACACACATCCATCCACGTCACGTAAACTTCGCTAAAAACACCAATGACCAGACGTACTCCAGTGTCCACAAAAGCAGAGGAAGGAAAAAAACACGACTTAGCAGACACTGCGTCCTCCAACATAACTGATACCCTGATCTACAACTCTCTCTCTCTCTCTCTCTCTCTCTCTCTCTCTCTCTCTCTCTCTCTCTCTCTCTCTCTCT